TCAACGAGGGAGGGAGAGGAGTAGTTCCAATTTGGAACAAGTGAGTCCCAGGCAGCGTGTGGTAGGTGTAGCTGTAGCGAAGACGATGGACAAAGGATAAGTGTACCCAAGTGAATGGGACAGCGATGAACATGGGCGACGCAAGGGGATGAACCTTCTCCAGCTCATAAACTACCCACCCACGCTCCAACCAGGCAAGACAAGCGACTGATGCTTTGATAGTATACAATAGCAGATTGACGTCATGAAGATGGACCTGTTACCCTATTTGGACTGGCCGCTGGGGCTTTGCTGATATCAGCAGTGGCACATGGTAGTCAACAGATTGCAAAGAAGATGAGGAGAAGGAGGGTGGAGGTGACAAGGAGGTGAACTAAAATGGGGATCCAGAAACGACCATCAGGTGAGAATAAAAACAAGAGTAAGGGACCCATGGTGGGGCTAGGCAAAGGAAGGGAAGTGAAGGAAACGACAAAAAGCGAGGGCGCAATGCAATGTGTAGCCAGTGGCGACGCAAAAATTTGCCGAAATGCCGAAATGCCGAAAGTACCAAATGGAAAGCAAAGGTGAGTGTGACTGAATTACCTATTCGAGGTGATGCTAATCAGCCACAGATTCGGAAAAAGCAATATTAATTACTATTCCACATGACACTGTGCCTGTGTGGCGCAAAGGCGAGTCTTTTTGAATATTCGCTTCATTCTTGACACCTGTCCATGCTACCAATCGACTTTGGTGCATGACAACATGAGATGGGAAACAAATCTGCGCCGCCTGGCAACAAGAAGAAAATTGTGGAGTTAGCAACCATGATAGCAGACACTTTTGCTCCGGATGTGGATCCACCACACATGGTGCCCAGCACTGTTGTCAAGCACAGAGGAAAACAAACACAGCCAGTTGCATAATTATAACTAAATCCATGCTATGTTCCATCAGAATGTTATCATTGCAGGCTTACAGCGTTCAGGCAGCTGCATTTGGTATGGGGGCCAGGTTTTTTATGACAGTTCTATCAAAGAAGCCAGTGAGGATTGCACCTGGCCCATCAAAGACCTATCTATATCTAACCCACAATCAGATCATGATGCCTTATTTTTATACACATTACAAGATATTGATAAGATATCAGATGTTTTAAACATCCCATGGGAAACATCCAAAGATCAACCATTTGATTCCACAACCACCTACATCAGTTTCCTCTGGGACCTCCAGCATCACCAAGTATCTCTCAGCCCCAACAAAGTACAAAAATACCTATTGGCCATGCATGCTTGGAGAAAAAGGCCCATGTACCTCCTTCAAGACGTATGCGAGCTATACAACAAGCTTTTACACACATGTTCTGCCCTCATCATGGGACGAGCATTCTTAACAGGCTTAAAATGCATGTTGGGAACGTGTCACAAGAAGCCGCTTTTGCCCCACCATCCCAAAAAAGGAATAGCACAGGATTTAGACTCATGGTCTCTCATGCTTCAAACCGGACAAGTATTGCGCCCCAACTTCCCCCCTACTGAATTCACCAATTTACAGATCTACTTGGACGCAAGTTCTAAAATCAGCATTGGCATATCCATAGGGAATAAGTGGAGAGCCTGGAGGTTAATCCCCAGCTGGAAAATGCACAATGGTAGTAGAGACATTGGCTGGGCTGAAGCCATTGGTTTTAAACTCCTCATATACTCACTCGCCACTATCCCTTGCACTCACTACCACCTCACACTCCACGGTGACAACTCAGAAATTATACCATAATGAAGCTGTCAACACAGCCTTCAAACACATACACAAGTTCTTACAATCTCATCCCCAACATTTTCAAGTCAGAGCTGTCTATGTTACTAGTGCAAACAACCCCACAGACTAACTGTGCAGAGGCATCAACAACACCAAACAATTACTACTTTCTCCCGTATCCATCCCTCCCCAGCTCAATGGTTACACTATTGATTCCTGCAACCCCCTTTCAGCCGCCGAAGTTAGAGCATTCTCTAACAGCAACTACTCTCCTGCTGCAGCAAAAGTTGTTAATCAAGCAAAGCAGTGGCAAGAAGCCAGACACCAGCTGGAAGCCAATTGTCAGAGGGACTATGGGTACATCACCTCTCTCCCTGGAACCAGTGGGCAGCACCAAACAGTGTTTTGACATTGCTCTAGCAACACAGACAAGCAGTGTGGTAACCACTCCTCAAAAATATAGAATAGACCTTACCCCGAGCACTTCCATTCTGAGACCACATTGCCTAGCCAGAGATAGGCTCAGAATGTGGACTCCCGCCAGTTTAACCCCTGAATGAGTGTATTACCCACCCCCCTAATCTGGCTATCCCATCTGAACAACACTTGGATAGAATACTCAAAGTAATAGGAGTGTCTTGGGCCTTGTCTACAAAACAAACATACGGAGCCGGCCTCTTAGGTGTCTTTGTGTTCAAAATATGTTGAAATGGCCTGTTTGCGGTGGAGTGTGCTTGAATAACATAGGGAACCGGAGAGCTCATTAGACTTTGAGAATGTGTGCTCATACCCCTTAAGGTCTTCGAGTCCCAGATCATTGGTGTACGTTGCAATATGGGATAGTTGGCACAAGCAGTGATGTGCATGCCCATGGAATGCCCCTACCAGGCAGGTGTGGTTGAGAGCATAGTTGAGAGCACGAGCGCCCGCACCCAAAGGGCTCTTGTTAAGCATTGTCTTAAACTTACACCCAATGTCAAATCCACCCCCAAGATTGCTACTGAAGACGTCCAGCATTTTCTCAATAACTGCCAGAGGATATTTGGTGCTGCACAAATCAATAGAAATAGTGTTAAATATATCAACACTCACAGTTCACTGCTCTGCACCATATCCACAATCACCAACAAAAAACCATGGCGACAAAGTGCTAGGACAATTCTTGACCCTTCAAATATTCCCCACATCATTTTGGTGAAATCCTCCTTCATGTTATTCCATCTTCCTGCGCAGGGATTATCTTCTGACTCAGCCTGGATGTGTGGTAAGCCAATGTTATTCCTAGAAACAAAAAGTACACTCACAACACTACCTGACCCCTTGAATAACTCCTCAATGTTCCCTGCTGCCCATTTGTCAATGTATTTGCAAGATAGATAGCAATCCGCATCAATTTGGAGGCTGGAAGGACATTTGTATAATGGGCCAGGTGAGTCATCATATTCAGACGGCCTGCACCTGATTATCCGCTTTAACAAATCATTCCCATCCATTATGTAGAGCATTTTAAACCAAAGTGTCTACTCATCTTGAAGAATGTATGTGCATGTGGGGCACGCATGTTGGAACTGTCAGTCTGGGGTAAAACACTGCAAGGTAGTCTACACTATAATAGAGACCTCGCCACAAATCTGTAAATAAACATCATGTGCAATTGATAACTGTTTAGCCAAGTAATGTTGAAAGATAACCAGAATATACATTAAGTGTTCCATTAATACCTAGGATGAACAAAAATGGACTTATGCCATGAAGGTGACATAAACCCTTAGCAAACACCTGGATGAATATATGGGGATTATAGAGGTGAAGAATGCAATATAGCTTGAGGGTCGTAGTAGATATGCCAACACTAGGCAACACAGGTGAACAAGGCATTACACCCTGCCTCACCAGTGCGGATGATTAATATGTCAGTGGGGATGACGGTAAAAAGTGTGTTGTGAGCATCTATCAAAAATCTGTAATAGGACAAGTGATACTGCAGTAGTTACATTGTGATTACAGGCACAGCACTTACTGTAGACATCCACCACCTTCACTTTGATTGATCCTGTATTAACAGGAGCCCCCATTTTATTTGATGCATCTAGCAAGCTACTCTGGTCATGCTTCCAACTCCATCCCATATATGCATTGACCAGGGCTGGCATTTAGTGCGTGAATGCTTGCTCACAACAAAGAATCCTATCCCGGAGTGTACAATAATCAACATGCCTTGGTTTTGAACCATGTTGTCGGCTACATGTGGTAAACTAGAACTTGTTATTTGTTCAATAGGAGTTTAATGCTTACCATAGATTTGCAGCAATCTCATTTGTCAAGGCCTTGAATTCACCTCCTGCATGGCTTATCTCTACAGGTACAGAACCATCCAACACATTGTCCATGTCCATGTTATTGAATGTGTCCCAATCATCATGGTGGCCCCGGTTTTCAGGTACTTCTTATAACACTTCAAGAGCACATCTTTTACTAGGTGTTATGGCTATGTAATATCAGCAGTCATGAAATTAGGACGCGGCTTCCAACACTTACCTTCCAGTCATGCCTGGTGTCTCTTAGGGAGCTTGGCAGATCTTTTGGCAAGAGCCTTTGGGCCCAATGATTCTCAGCTTGATTTGGTTCTGTGGCCATACTTATTGCAGGAGGAGATGATCTGATAAACCTTTTTACTTAACAGGTTGGTGTGGTTTTGAGGCTTTGAAGAGTGGTAAATCAGTAAGTGGTTAGATCAGCCTCTCATCTTTCATTTCATCACTGATAACAAGCACTGTTATGCTCAAGTTTGCAAGTATACAAAGCATAAGCTCTCTGTTGGATCGCCATAGTTTTTGCCCCCGAAACACCATTGGTGTCTTCTTCTTGGCCTCAACACTCACAATGTAAGTGATCTCCTCTTTGTATGTCACGTTAATGACATTGAATTTCTCTTAACCAATCAAGCCTCACTCAGCTTCATTACAGGCAGGTGAATAGGAGTACAGAGATATTCTGGAGAGATTGGCGCCATCCAAGGGTTCTTGGAAGCACTCCAGCAGTGTGCAGAGTTGGTGCAGCCATAGCGCTATACTAGCTAATGGCCTACCCCCATCACCACTTCCAATGAACTTGAACTGCTCCCATGTATCTGGCCAGATTGAAGTCTCCCACTCCCTTCCACCAGCTATTCTTAATCTTTATACCATCTACCCTGCCAATTCTGATTTTCCTTCCACCCACTCACCTGATGCAGCACCCCCATCTGCATATCCCTTTGCCTCTGATGCTACACTACCTCCTATGCCAAGCTTGCCCCCTTCTAAATAACAGCATCATAATAACCACCCAACAGAATCCTGTCCTGCTTTGTCTTGTCACTGTGTTACAGCATATACAACCACTAATCCATTACTTGCTGGCCCTACAGTGCCTCCTTCCATATCCAACCTACTCCCCACTAAGCCATCATCTAAGACCTCGGGATCCACATTGCCAACTGCTAGGTATTAGGCTAATGTGGATGACCTAATGGAGGAGTTCAATCAGGTTTTGTTGTAGTATTGTAGTGATAGGAGTGATGCTAGATCAGTAGTAACATACAATCAACATATTTTTTGAGCAGAAACTTGGAAATTGTGTGTTCAAATTATAAAGTTCCGGTTTTTAATATTGATGCATTGTGCTCATTAATATTTACAAGTTATATGCTGGTAAAATTAAATAAATGGCCAACAAGAGTATGTGCATGACTCTGTGTCTTGCATTGTGGCTGACCATGACATTGCTTCTCTTCAACGACTTTTCTAGCAAAATCTGTCACTGTAACAAAAAAATCAAGATCAATTAAGATACAGTTTGAATGACCTGGATATCACTTACTCTATTTTTTCAGACCATCTCAGTGATAGTATTGCTGCAAACAGTGAGTGACAGTGAATGATAGCAAATGATTCACTATTGTTCACTATCATTTGCTATCATATTTGATATTGTTGTTTCAGATTATATCATGGGTCATCTGTCAATACCAGCTGTCATTATAATCTGATTTTTCTGATACAAAACGAGGGTTTGACTCACCTATTCATATGTTTCTATGGGCAAACACAGAAATCCCGTTCAGCAAAAAAGAGCTACACAAAGGTGGTTGTCAACTCCAGGGTGAGTATTTGAACGTGCATTATGGGCATTCCACTTGAGGCGCTAAGAAATTTATTAGGGTGCATGAGTGTCAAAATGAAAAGGCATGTCAGTGTGCTGCAGCATACATACTTTGCCCTATCAACTCTTAACAATACCGAGGAAGGCTCTCTGACTATCTCTCAATCTAGCAAGCGGGCATTCAAAAGATGAGCAGGTCCTATGAAGCTGGGTTTCTGGGTCAATTGATTTTTCTGAGTTCAGCAGGCACAGAAAAATAACTACATTATTACAGCACTCACCTGCATCACCTACGCCAGTTCCCACCCCTCTAGAACATAGTACTCCTAGTCTGTTCGTCCCATCACTCTAACTCTCGCACATGGCAGTCACTACTTGGCAAATAAGCTGGGGCTCCAAAGCTGTATGGGAGCAATGCTTTGCAGACACTTTAAGACACGCAGGCAATAAAGTGACAACAGAATTGTTTGTGGAAGAGTGTGAGGTCCATATCCGAGAGGGGAGGTAGATATTGAGAGACTTGAAGTTCTACATGAATGGACTCAATCATGTGGAGATCCCAATACTTCTAGACTTGAAAGATATAATCTTGCAGGAATTTGACTTAGTTGAGCAAATACTTGCTGAAGTCAAATTTTTTGAAATAAAATTGAATGAGTTACCTACCTCTGTACCTAGCCAGCAAACTAGTAAATAATAAACCTTCTAATGCTGAATCAGCCTGGGGGATCTCTGTGACATTAGAAATATGTGGTTGGGAGGAAGATGTACTTTACAATTATATGAATTCTACACTGCAATAGCAAAGCTTCAGCAGGAGAAACACACTAAAAAGGTATCAAAATCATGTGGGATGGAACCAAATTTGGATTCCACATAAGGCAATTGTTGTTTACTCTATTGACTTGCTGTGGGGGCATGGTGGCTTTATGCTAGAGGCTTTCGGTATCAGGTTCACATATTCACTGGCACCTCAAGTATTTGAGTTCTGCTTTACTGGATATCCATAGAGCTCTTAAATTGGCAATTCTGGTGCGTTTTCCACCACATTCTGTGTTTACAGGTTACTGACTTGTTACTTCAGATATTATTACATGCCATCCGAGTTGCATTTCACAAATGACATTCAATTGGAATGGTCGGCCATTTAAATATACATACCCTCAAATTATATATGTAACTAATGAGTTTTGCATAGCTTCTATGGAGGAAAAGAATTTGAAACATCACTGTAAGAAAAGAGACTGGGTGATTTATTTCCAGAACTCGTGAAGGCCCTCTTGACTCATCAGCATACAGCAATTTGGACCTCCACTCAGCTGCCTGACACTGCATGTTTGTGGTTCATAGGGCATCTGAGGGTTTTGAGGTAGGCCATGATCATTTTGTTTGTATCATTGCTGATTCAGTTATCATTGCACAACTTCTTAGATAGAGTCAAATCAGCAACAGGTTATCCCACATCTGACCGCCCACTTTATGGGCTATATACCTACATCACAATAGGTTCTATTTCCTCATGCAGCACACGCTAGCATATCACACATGTAAGTTTATTACTGTGACTATACTTTACAGCCGTATTCTGCTGCTGACAAGCCTCCATCAGCGCCATAACTCAACATACCAGTCTACGACCAACCTCTTACCCATGTAATCTAGTTTGTGAAACCCCTATCATGTTTTGTACTCCAGTTTCATTATTGATCACGAGCAGGCACTTGATCTTTTCCAAACAAAGGCAACAAGTGGCAGCCTTGTCGTATACTGCTCAATGGTACTATAGAAGCTGGTGGAGTACCATCAGCTCCAAGTGCAGGTTTTGTAATTGCATACATCATATGTGCTGGATCTGCACTACCTTTCAACTTGGTGTACCATTCAATATACGCCAATGGAATTTTGGGCCAATGTTTTGGTATACAAACAGAACCACCATGAAAAATGGCAGGGAGCTTGAATATTACTTTAACTCTTCCAACACATGTCTATATGTCATGAAATATTAATTCACAACTTGAAACTGATCATGAAATTAGAGGAAAATATTACCAGCAACACCTGTTGACTCTGCTTCTAATGAGTCTAATACAACAACATTATCAAACTGTGGAGCAATTCCTTTGGACCTAGGTTTTGCTTTGATGACTTCATACTTTACACTTGCACTAGCATCATCTCCAAGGTGAATTGGAGTGAGTTTGAAACTAGTGAATATGTCAAGTGAATCAAATGGGAGATTTGCAATATTGACTTGATTTCTGGACATATAACCTGGCTGACCGTGCATTAGGCAATTCAGAAACTCCTTGATATCACGTATGAAGCCATGACATTGGTGGTTTTGTTGAATTGATTGAATGGGTTGTTGTGGAAGAGGAGATACTTTTGCTATGTTAATACCTAAGCCAGATGGATTCTGGAGAATATCTTGCTGACATAGAACTGGTCTATTTTGTAAAGACAATTAACAGCATTCAAACCACACAGTTTTTTCTTGCCTTGATAGCCAGGTGGTCATTTGTGGACGCTCATTCCTATGATTTGATGCTCTCCATGCATCCTTAGCCATGTCTATGTGGAAACGTTCAAACATATGATTGCAATAATGAATACCCAATGAGCCGTGCGAGAATGGACGGTCAGACTGTCTATTCTCTCACGGCTCATTGGGTGATCTAATCTTATCTTTGCTGGAACAACAATACTGGACTGTGCGAGAATAGACAGTCTGACCGTCCATTTTTGCACAGCTCATCCAATCTCACCTTTGCTGGTACAATACTGGACCGTGTGAGAATAGACAGTCTGACCGTCCATTCTCGCATGGTCCAGCAGATTGCTGATTTCACGTTATTAGCATTGCAACACCTTATCATGTTGTTGTGTAACCAAGGTCAGGCTGCCATACATTTTCCCACAGTCTTTGTAGTATACTGAAAATGTATAGATTTACTATTCCAACACTATAGGTCAAGATCCTTGCTTGGATACTGGGTCAGCAACCACTGCCAACAGAGCTGATGCATTTTCACGCCCAACTGGTGGGTATCCTAAGCACACTCACTCCTGCTGACCTCTCTGCACTGCTAGACAAAGTGGCTCCATCCTAAATGGTTCTATCATCACTCTCTGACAGCCCACCTTCTGTCACCATGCATCAAGATTTAACAACATCATCCCCAGCCTGCTTTGGTGAAGAGGTATGTTGGCTCTCCCCTCCTAATGCCAATATTACTGACTATTTTTTCTCCACAGCAAACTCATGTTGACGAGTCCAACTTGCAGACCAGTCAATCTCTGCAACAATCTCTGGCGGTGATACGCTCACAAAGACGCCAACCACGTCAACACCCATATGCTGCTGCAGCTCCTACTCCTACTCTTGCACGTTAATCTTGTCGATCTCCATCTCCTGCATGTCAACAACCTGCTCCTGCCCCTGCTCCAGCTCCTGCACGTCAATGGCCTTGTCCAAGGGGTGGAATTGCTGTCCAGCAATCTCTGTGGCAAGCAGTTATTGACCCTGCTATTAGGATCAACTCAGCTGTCGATGCTTTTATAGCACGGCTTGCGGCTGCACATGAAGACTCCTCAATGTTCAACTCAGGAGAGTGGGCGCACTCTGTCAACTCCCTGTTGACCTCTGTTATGTCCACCAATGACTACCTGGATGAGTCTTTGGCTTCTGTTGTGGTGCGCTGTTGGTGCATGACCAGTAAAGATATAGATGTCAACTTTTTGCTGATGATCAGCTACATTCAGCTTGTTGCCAAGTCCCAAAGGTAAGTGAAAATTGTTACAGATAATTATCATTTCTTTCTAATGTTTATGCTTGTATGCTAGTCTTTGCTCTCAGCAAGGTATCTCCCTGGCAAACCTTTGGAGGGATCTCCCTCAGCCTAATTCATCTAAGAAACAGTTTGAGCAATAGCATGCTATGGGCTGCAAGTTTGCAGCCATAGCAGCCGGTGGTAAGATTACCTTTGTCTGCATTAAACCATACTTACAGATCTATGTAGGATCTATTTATGCCCTTATTTTGGTTGCAGGCATAAGCTTACGGGTTCAACTTGGTGAAATGGATGGAATGACACCATGGGAGATAGCCAATGTCTTTAGGTGGCCAGTTGAATGTAAGTGTACTACTTCTTACTGTGTGTATGCTAACTAAACAATGTTATGCAGCTACTGTTAGTGGACAGCTGGTGATGAGTAGAATCATCCCAACTATTTATAGCTTATGCCAAAACCTGCCACTGAACATGAACTGCATGTTTGCACCTGGCGTGCTCAGTTATTATGGCCTTCCTGCCAATATTGATTACACAAATTTTGAGGCTTCTGATCAATTTTTTAAGGCTATCCGATTCAAGTACGTTACAATCATTTGATTCTAACAGTTTCTGATTTTTTTTTGGTTTTTTAGAGTACTTTCCAACTCTTGGATTGTCGTCTAGATTGTTGAGGAGTCTGTATGCACACTATAGACATAGCTCATGTACCCATACATTGTCATGGTCAGGCTATCTTAGGTGTAGGTACAACATCTTCAGTACATTTCCTGACTCCCTTATCCAATCTTGACAACATCCTGCCTTGTTCTTAACCACCATCACCATCATTACCACCAGTTGTCCTCATTGAAATGTATGTGGTTAGCACAACATTCCAGAATATGGCTGAAGGCAATTGCCAATACTCTGCACCGCAGGATCCTGGCGATAACTATGAGTGGACCAAATCAGAAAGAGAAAGGGCAAGTTGAGCCATCAAGGTCACAGACGTGGAGGACCTGACAGCCAAGGTATGTCATTATCATGTATGTAGTGTACGCAATATCAATGCTAAATACTTGTTTTTAGATACAAAAACATTATGATGGGGGTGTTTGTACAGACCCCTCAGCATACTTGTATATACCATCCTCAATAGTTCCCTCCATCCCTCTTCTGTTGAAAAACAGCAATGATTTGCTCATGTTATTTTTAAACAGCTCTATGCCAGAATCAATTTGCACCACCCTCCTGCCTAACTTCCAGTCCTGCCTAGGCTCCACCACGTCTCTACATCATATAGACTCAGCTGTTGAAGGTGAAGGCTTCACATTTGAAGCTCTACATTTCTCTTGATACAACTGCCATTGTACAAAAGTGAGTTTTTTTTTTTCCATTTACAAACTATGCTGAATCAATGAAGGGAAATGACGCACCCAATGACATTCCCCCTTTGATAATGAGGAGAAAGTATGCCTCCAGAACAAATTATTTACAGCTTATCCCCTATACGTCCAAGGAGATTCAAGACCATGCTGATATTTACCAGAGACTTAAACAGTATTTGCTGATCTCTTTGAATGGATAAATGAAATGGTGAGTGACATTGTTTCTGATTAATTTACAGGATAATCTCCTGATACCATTGATGTAGCTTGCTACTTATCTACCTGCTGAATATTTGGTACTCAGACAACATGCTGAGTTACTCCCTGGTAACAACACCTCTGCTGTCTGCCCATTCTTAGGTCTTGTGGTCAATATCAATGTTTCAACCAAGGCTCACAGGGATGCCAAGGACAAACTCTTTTGTCTAGTCACACCACTGGGGGAGAGCTTTGCCTTGTTGAGCCTGGCCTGGTGTTGCAGATGAGAGAGGGGGATATTGTGCTCTTTCGCTCATGTGATATAACTCATTTTAACTTGTACTTCAGAGGGCAGAGGGGCTCAATTGTCTTGCAAACTGACAAGGAGATGGATAATTGGAGGAATGGGCAAAATAGATGGGCTGGTCATTCTTCTTTACATTGATAACCATGGACTTTGTACTGCATTTTGTATATTTGTTTGTTGTATCACTTTTGAGAAGAAAGTTGAAAGGTGTGAGGGATGAAATGTTCCACTGTTTGCTAATTCCTTATTTTCTATATCTTTTACCTCTGTCTCTGTCTACTATTTTGGTGATGGCTGCTAGGACAAGATCTGGACAGAACAAAACTCAGGGAAGTAAGTCCAAGAAGCTTCAAACTCTTCTGATGGGCTTACACAAGATGAAGAAATCTTATACAGCCAACTGATGAAGAAGTTGCAAGCATCTGGAAAGGATGCAAATGCTGACAGGCTATCAGGTGAGTCATTTAATATGTGTTATGTATCATGTCCATTATATAGTACACTTCCCAGATATTTGTCAGAAAGCAGCTCACATGGTGGAGGCTGAGGATAATGAGGAAAAAGGAGACTTGGATAGGCCTGACGTTGATAGTGAAGATGAACCTCTTCATAAGAGGGCCAGGAATAGCATGGAAGAGGAACTAGAAGATGAGGATGAAGATGCTCTGATGCACACCTTTAGACACTTGACAGGCAAGTAACTCAACCTTAGCTATAAGCTTTACTAATGCAGCATCATCAGAAGAAAGCTCACAGCAAGTTACTCCCTCACCTTCATTGACCCAGGAGTTGGACAATCCTTGCTACGAACAAATGGTGTCATCATTGTATACTGATGTGAGTTTTACCTTTTTTTTCTAGTTCACTGATCCACATATACAGATACAGATTACTGCATCACCAGCTGAAAGTGTCCGGTTGGTTAACAATAAGCGTAAAAGGAATAGCAGTAGTTCTCCTTCATTAACACCTTCCAGAGATTCCAAGGTAAGTGTGCAATATGTTTAAAGATTATAAGGCTTATATTCTACACAGGCCGTTATCACTAGCTTTAGCCCTACCAGCTCCAGGCTGGCTAAAGCAGGACATTCTCAAATGTGTGTTATTCTTTCTACTGTGAAAGGCTTCCCAGGTACTGATGAACGAGATGAACTTGTTTGGAATGCAATCATCAAAGTTGCAAGTTCTTCTTCACTATTCAAGACTACTGTAGTAGATTTTTGGAGAATGCAAGGAACAAGCAGAAAAAAAGTAGAATCATTGATTATGTGAGTGAGAACAATGCTTCCAATATTACTAATATTGAAATTTTAAACAGGTGTGGAGAGCTGCAGCTCAGCTTTATGACTATGTATTTCAGACTTATTCATATGATAAGCAAAAACCTTTTGGACATTGCATCATCAAGCTACTAGCTCAGGTTCAGTGGTTCCATAAGAAGGGGGAGGGCGTCCTCTATCTAAGTGATTTCAAAGACTCACCTTTGCCATTAATTGCCTTGGCTATTACAGCTGTGAGTTTGTAATGTAATATACATGAATTTTCCTCACTCTATATTTCACAGGTCGAATACTGTCTTCATGAACTTGCAAAAGGTGTTCACACCACCTTGAATTTCTCTGAACAGGTCTACAGGCCCAGGTAAATTCAATATCCACTCTATGTCAACCTTTACTCAGAAGTGTTTATCAGATATTTATATTATCTGTCCAGGTTAGAAGAGCACAAAGGAAAGCTCCTAGGTGGTTTTTGCAGTTTCGTAAAAACACTTACAACAATATTCTGTGAGTAGCCTACCAAATTATTTTAGAACAACACTCATAAGCATTATATTACACACAGTCAACAGTGTGATTTACAGTACTTAAATGCAAAAGAGGACAACTGGGAGGATAAGGTTGATTTTGCAGCGCTTGAAGATTCAGCATCCTTATAATTGTCGATACATGCATGTCATTATATGGTATCAGGAATATACTATAATAGATTCTCTGCATATGATCTCTGGCTAAGATGCTATAATAATAGTGAACAAAACTGAGAGAATTTGAAAACTATGATAAGCTTGTGGAACATATATAATATGACCATTCTGAAATAACCATTGATGGTTGTTATATCTATTATATTCTATGAGAGCAGCCATAGTAGACATGGATTGTATATATCACAGAAGTGATACTCTAGCTGGTATAGCAAATATCTCAAAATAGCCCTGCTATATAGAGCTATATAATAGGGACTTGTCTAGGCGTACTATAGCTACTATTTTCCCTATATAGCGCTATGACAGCTATGATAGCTATAAAAGGAAACTAGGTTTTTCCTGATGCAGAATCAAGCACCCTAGTGTTTGTCTTGCCGTGGCCACGCTCCAAGGGAGATATTGGTGCAGCGGTAGTATCATAAATATTGCATTTGCAATGCTTCATACAAGTACATACTTCTGACAACAAATTTGAAAATCTATTTACAAATTGGGGAGCCACCCCCATCTTTCCTTTATTGCTCATGCAACACCTTGGAGCAAGGGCCACCTTGTTGTGGTTTACTTCATTGTTCATAGGAGCGAAGGCACCTAAGTGACCTAAGCTCCAAACTCTTTTCCCTGAGCCTTCATCTCAGCGAGCTGCTGGTTGTAAAAGAAGGCCCAGATTTCATCATACAAACAACTGGCCAGAGTATTGAGCCAATTGTCCAGTGTTTCAGCTTCTAATTGGCATGCCTGGCGCCCTTGGTTATGTTTTTGTTGAGTGGCCTGTGCTCTATTTGGACACTGTTGGGCCATGTGCCCCTCCTGCCCACAGTTATAGCAGGTGAATCTGTGCATCTGTCTGCCCTGGACCGCGCTGATATCCATTAGGGCTTCCCATCCTGGTTGCAATCCAAATGGGTGGAACCCGTGAGAGTGATTTTTATTTTGGTTTGATAACCTAGGGCTCCTCTGGGAATAATTATTTTTGTTGGTGGACCCGCCACCTTGGTGCATAGTGTAGAGCTTTATGGCTCTACTAACTTGTTGTACTTCCTCAGCTGCCAGGGCTAGGTTCTTGCTTCTTGTATCCTGCAAGTAGATCTGGTCTGCAATGTGTGGGTTCACATTGCACTCCAGCAGTTCTACTGTATGTTCATTGACAAGCCCTCCTTGGGTGGAGAGGGCTAGGAACCGGGTAACGTAATCATCCATTCTCATGTTTCCTTGTTTGAAGGAACAGATTTGTTGGCAAGCCCAATCATGCTCAGCCTGTGGTTTGAAATATTTTTTAATCTCAACCTTGAGATTGTCCCAGGTAGGCCACACACCTGCAATGTAGCACTCCTGAAGTCTTACTTGCGCATATTGACCCGCCACAGGTCCCTTTAGTCGAGATAGCACCGCAGTTGCTACCTCAAAGTCATCGGCAAATGCATCCCAGTTTGCCTTGACCCAAATCTGGAGTTTGATCCACCATTCTGCAAATTGCGCTCTGTCTCCTTCAAAGGCGCACAACTCAGACAAAGCTGAAAAGGTAGTGAGGGGAGTGGTTACCCTTTAGGATAGGACTGAGTTAGTTGTGGGTAAACAACAGGAGGACTCGCTGAGGAGTCTCCTGGATCTATTGGGTATTTATATTACTACAGGTTATTTGTACATGTGTACTATACAGTTGATGGAAGCAGTGGCTGATGATGTCATGGGGCACAGCCCGTGTTACCAGCTCCACTGTGTGAGAGACTTGTAGCTATAAATAAAGAAAAGCAGCACAGCGTGAGAAAAGGGGAGTTTGAACAAAGCAAAGTGCTGCATGGCACAGTGTGTGAAAACTATAGAAGAAAGTTAAAGAGGTGAATGAAATTTAAAGGTCCGAAAATTGTGTTATCGTAACAATTTTGCCCAGGTGCCATAGTGGATTTTCAGAAAGGTGAACGGTGAGTTGCCCACAAATCTGTGATTGTGGCAATTTCTCACTCTTTATAGCCAAATACACATGGAGTATTCCCTGTCTCAGGCCTTGTCCTCATTGGCTGGGATTAACTCAGTCATAGTCCTCTACAATATAATGTGTCAATATGGTAGAAACATCTTGAAGAGGGTCCTTAAAAGTCCTTATCTTCAGGTCCCCAGTGGTGTATCCATGTACAAGGGCATTGGATCATTTCATGTGCTTGGACATCAAGACATCTGCTTCCCAAGATACATCCCTAACTTCATCCCTGGGGCCAGGCAGGTTGATGGTTAGGTATTAGAAACACTTTGGGCTCCCCTCCATGAAGTCTCTCAAAGTACCCGGGCTATAAGCAAGTCACATAGGCAGAAAATATTGGACAATCACATGAGTGATTCCAATTGGAAGAGGCTTAAACAAATGGGTAGGTCCCAGGCTTCAATAACTCACCCATATTCATAACTAAGTTCCTAAATCTGGTGCTTTGCAAGAAGTTCAAAAAAGTCCAACAAGGTTTGCCATCAAGCAAGCTTGCATTTGGAAACATTAATTCCACCACAGACTCCAAGGATACAGAGGCCTGGATTGCCTGGTGTCATGCACCAAAATTGATTGGTAGCATGAACAGGTGTCAATAACGAAGCGAATATTCGAAAAGACTCGCTTTTGCGCCACACAGGCACAGTGCCACATGGAATAGTAATTAATATTGCCTTTTTAGAACTTGTGGCTGATCAGCACCACCTCTATTAGGCAATCCAGTCACGCTCACCTTTGCTTTTCCATCCGGTACTTTCCGTGTTTCGGCATTTCGGCAAATTTTTGCGTCGCCACTGGCTACACATTGCATTGCGCCCTTGCTTTCATTGTTTCCCTTACTCCCCTTCCTTTGCCTAGCCCCACCATGGGCCCCTTCCTCTCCTTTTTATTCTCACCTGACAGTTGTTTCTGGATCCCCATTCTAATCGACCTCTTCATCACCTCCACCCTCCTCCTCCTCATCTTTTTTGCACCCCCACTATTTCTGATGTCACCACTTCCTATCTACTTCTGTCGCCAATCTGTTGACTACCACATGCCACTGCTGATATCAGCAAAACCCCGGCGGCCAGTCCAAATAGGGTAACAGGTCCATCTTCATGACGTCAATCTGCCATCATATACTATCAAAACATCAGTTGCTTGTCTTGCCTGGTTGGAGTGTGGGTGGGTAGTTTATGAGCTGGAGAAGGTTCATCCCCTTGCGTCGCCCATGTTCATTGCTGTCCCATTCACTTGGGTACACTTATCTTTTGTCCATCATCTTCGCTACAGCTACACCTACCACACGCTGCCTGGGACTCACTTGTTCCAAATTGGAACTACTCCTCTCCCTCCCTCGTTTGATCAGGTGGTCCAACACAACCAGTCCATTGGTAAGGCCATGGAACTGTTGGATTTGGACTAGGTGGTGGACCGGTGGCTCCAGTTTCTTTTTCTTCAGCAGAACATTCATTTACAGTGCAATTATTTTTGATTTTTGAATCATTTTTATGGACACATATTTTTTTAGAATGCCTGACTGAAAATAAAGGAACTGCGTTGATACTGATAGTGTTTTTCCTTGCCCTTTTTTTACTGCATCTTCTTCCCATGACATCATGATTTTCCTGCTCTCTTTTTGCTATTGGACTTTACTTTATGGCTGTACAAACCTGTGACATTATTCACAGCATTCATTGTTCTATCCCTTTCTTTTCCTTTTTTTGACACTCTTATCCTGTACTACCTACGCAGGATTTGTAAGCATAAATTCCTTCCTTCATGTTCTTTCTCATTCTTTTTGCGCAGCTATACTGTGCATAGCCTACCTTTCTTTTTACTATATAAACCCCTGTATTTTACCTTGTAAAAAAATAACAAAGAACTCCAATCCAGACTTCTTCTCTAATCTCAAGTTCACTACTCTTCTACTTGTGATCCAGTGTGGTCACAACAGTTCCCACTGCTACCACTGTGAATTGCTGTCATCGTCACTTCCCACTTTTGAAGTCATTGTTATCCCTTTTGATTAGAGTCCTTCTGAGCACTACAGTTTGTGTGTCAGGAGCCTGCTATCACTGGGAACCTTGTCACCTTGTCACCTTGTCATCCTTGTTGTTCTCAAACCTACCTTGTGCTACGATTACGCAAAATAGTGCTTTTCTATACTTGTCA